TATTTTAGGCAAAGGTCAGTAGGAGGTGGCTGAACCATCTATCCTCATCAAGAGGTTGTCATAACAGACCTGATGGTTTTAATAACACTTCTGTCCCTTCTTATTTATCTTCATGCTGTAAACCAAACCCTCGATATTCTAAGGTCTTTCCCCCATCTAATGAAATTATCCTGAATGTTTTTGACATAAAATATTAAATGGTTTCTTCTGCAGGAGTCTGCTTTGTGTGTGGAAGTGGAAGTGTCTGTGATGGTGCTTCAAATAAAAAATTCTCCCATATAAATCCTTTTGCTCTGACACTGTCATTCAAAACAACAGAATTCTTACATTCAGATACATGCATTACTGAGCAGCTGAACTTTCATTTCATATGTATAAATTTTATTTGTGGCTACTTGCTGCTGGTTTGACACATGGAGTCACATCCAGGGTTACCACTCCTCCAATCCACCTCGCTTGTTGCAAAATATAGCCTAAAAGACCACCATTATTGGGAAAAATATCGGACAACTGTCACATTACCTAACTTAGTGAAATCATAACAAAGGCTTCCATTAGAAGTGACATAACATAAGCTGGAAGGGGTTTTCAATTCCACTTACACTTCTTTTCCTCGTTCCTTCCCTGAAATGTCTCACATTCTCAGCATGTTTTGTGGAAGCTTGATTAAAGTCAGTAAATCTGGTTTTGTACCATTCATTCATTTCCTGAGGGGATATTAAACAGCAGAGGGCAAACAAGAATGCTTATTGTCAGATCTGTGAAAAGATATGTACTGTTTTCAGTTATTAGATGAATATGTAAACATGTGAAAAACCTGAGAGCATCAGCAAAGACTGTTTTTGTGTTCATCCAAGGAAAAGAGATAAAGAAAATATTGTATTTCCAATTGTGGGGGAGGACCCATGAACAAAAAACTGACCATGTATCATCCTATTTATCATGCTATTTATAAGATGTGGATTGGAAGAAACATATTTTGGGGGGGAAAAAAATCTATCCAACTATCCTGTGTGTATTTATATCTAGCAATGGACTACGAAGTATATTCAATATGTTTGTGATAGTTTTTATTAGGGGGGCAGAGGGGGACGAGATCAGCAAGAGCTGACAGATAATTTCATCTCACAAATATGACAAAGTATAATTTCACCTGCAGGTTCTTGGCTGCGATTTTTTCATCCTATGTCTGGATGTCCCTCAGAGCAGCAGCCAGGTCTGGGGCTGAGCAGGAGACATCAGCACACACAGCAGCACTGAACATCTGTTTCATGAAGTCTTCATTTGCTTGTTTTGACACACACACACATTGAGGACATGGTAAATAAAGCCATCCTCCACACAGCTCCTGGAAAAGAAAGGTTCAAAAGCAATGTCAAGGGAAAAAAGGCTCTGTCCTGTCTTTCCCCTGCCATGCCTCTGCCCAAGAAAGCATCTCCCAGCCGGGCCTCCAGGGAGATGGAGTCACAGTGGCATCCACACATGGCCATCAGCACCTCTGCACTGTGGGTCCACACCAGCTGCAGGCCTCCTGGCCTGGCAATGGGCATCCCCAGCTAGAGGAACCTCCGCCTTTTTGCTCAAGAGATGCTGCAGGGCTGAGAATTACAACCCGCCCCCAAGCACTGGGAGCCCCCTGGGCGCCATTCTGCAGGGAGATCTCCAGCACGGCAGGGTGTCCCCTTGTAGGGCACTGGAGGATCTCCAGCATGGCAGAGCGTCCCACTGCAGAGCAATATGTAGCCCAAGGAGTCTTTTTTTCACTCTGGTTTTGGGTCTGTGGAGCAGGGAGAGTTTCCCTCTCCATAGCTCTGTTACTGGTGTGGTCTGCTGCAGTGCTGTGAAATGGGGTCATAAAATATGAGGTCTGTCCTGCTGGGAAAGAGACAGTCTGGGCATGGAGCTGGCAAGAATCTGCAGTGCCAAGTGCTCCCATTCCAGCAGTAGTAGACAGCCCCAGTGATGCCAGATACAGGGTAAGCAGAGCTGTTTCCCATGCCCAGTGTGTAGTGCAGCAATGGCATTTATCATAGCTGTGGTATATATCCTGCCCAGTCCCTACTAATACCCTGCCATACTACAGTGTAAAATCATAGAATGGTTGAAGTTGGAAAAGATCTTTGAGATCATCAGGTTAACCCAGCACTACCAAGTCCACCACTAACCATGCTCCCAAGTGCCACATCCCCATATCTTCAAAGTACCTTGAGAGATAGTAAGTGTAGACAGCCCCAGTGATGCCAGATACAGGGTAAGCAGAGCTGTTTCCCATGCCCAGTGTGTAGTGCAGCAATGGCATTTATCATAGCTATGGTAAATATCCTGCCCAGTCCATGCTCCCAAGTGCCACATCCCCATATCTTCAAAGTACCTTGAGAGATAGTAAGTCTACCATTTCCCTGGGAAGCGTGTTCCAACACTTGACAACCCTTTTAGAAAAGAAAGTTTATCTAAAACTTCCCTGCTGCAACTTGAGGCCATTTCCTCTTGTTCTGTCCTTCTCTGGTGGGAGAAGAAACCGACACCACCTTGCTACAACCTCCTTTCAGGGAAGCTGTAGTGATAAGGTCTTCCCTGACCCTCCTTTTGCCCTGGCAAAACAACTCCAGCTCCCTCAGCTGTTCCTCATAAGACTTGTGCTCTAGACCCTTCACCAGCTCCATTGCTTTTCTTTGGATAAGTTGCACTGCCTCAGTGTCCCAGAACTGGACACAGCACTTGAGGTGCACCCTCTCCAGTGCTGAGTACAAGGGGTTCATCACTGCCCTGGTCCTGCTGGCCACACTATTTCTGACATAGGCCAGGATGCCATTTGTCTTCTTGACCACCTGGGCACACAGATGTCTCATACTCATCCAGCTGTTGACTGTGCAGAAGCACAGATCACCACCACAAAGTAACAAAACACAGGCACTAAATCAGAGGAAGAGAAAGGCAGGAGTCAGGTAGAGGAAGATGGTGAAAAAAAGAGATGCCCACTTGATGTGATAACCAGAAGCATGAGGTTTGCTGCTATTTTGGTTCATCCAGCTGTTTACTGTGCAGAAGCACAGATCACCACCACGAAGTAACAAAATACAGGTACTAAATCAGAGCAAGAGAAAGGCAGGAGTCAGGTAGAGAAAGATGGTGAAAAAAGAGATGCTCACTTGATGTGATAACCAGAAGCATGAGGTTTGCTGCTATTTTGGTTGCTCTAGTGTGTTCAGTGAGGCGATGACGACAAGCTTCTCTGTTATACAGCAGCCTCTGTCTCTCTCTCTCTGCTGATTCCGTGGTGCTGTGTTATGCTGTGTGTGATGTGGTTGTGGTTGTGATCCAGGGCATTTGCTGGCAATTTGATTCAACTCTTTGTGACACTGATACAGCAGAGTAAATTGCTTTTCCCATACCCTGCAAAGTCTGGATATTTTTTGGAGAAAGGTGTCAGGTCGGAGAGCCCCCACTCAAACACGACTCCCCACAAACCCAGCCTGTGGTTTCCCTCGTGTCTCCTTGCACTGGGAAAGGTAAAGAGTTTACAAAATATTTTTTCTCTACCACCCTCCTCCACATTCCTATGTACAAACAGGGTCTGTAACCTAGAGTCTCTCTGGCATGTCAGAACAGTGTCTCATTCTGCCAGCAAAGGCATTTAGAAACACCACTGGCTCCATCTGTCCTGGTTCCAGCCAGGACAGGCTCAATTTCTGCTGTAGCCATGAGGGCCAGGGCCAGGACCTAGAGGTTATTCTATGCCACCTCATGCCATTTGCCAGGGACAGGGCAGGAAAAAAGGCTGGCTTGCAGGCTGGGATAACACTGCAGAGGGAGTGGTTGGGCATTGATGGCGGTTTCCATGGGGTGTGGGACAACTTTTGTTTTCTTGTTTGCTCTGTCATTAGTGTTGTTGCTGTTACTGTTAATTTCTTATCTTGTTCCACTTTCCAGTAAATTGTTCTTCTCTCAGTCCATGATCTTTACCTTTTGTGCCTCCAGTCAGCCACAGAGGGGGACAAGGGGACAAGGGGATGGGGAAGTGTGCGAGTCATGGGAGGTGTGGAGTAGTTTCAGTGTGAACACATTTGAGAATAAACCATTACACCATTTTACCCTCTGTACATCTTCCCTCTCTGCTTCATAGCTCCTAAAAATAATGTAAATTTCCCTTTAACTTACCTGTTCCCAAGTGTTCAAGTGTATGATATTGACACATCTCAATTCGTGTGTTGATACATCTCAGATCCCACCAAGAAGCTGAAAGCCGCCACAGGAAAGAGCATGGAAAGGAAGCAGGCCCATTTACTTCTTGTTTGTAGTTTAAACATACAATTATTAAGTAAATACCTCTAGAGGCTCTCTCTGATGAGGAAAATTCCAGCATGGAGCAAGCTGAGCCATGGAAACTTGGGAACAGATATGTTAAAGGGAAATTTAGGTGTGGTGGAGACAACACAAGACAAGCTAGCTCTGGATCTTCCTAGCTACTTCCAGTAGGGACCTTATTGGGAGAAGCAGCCAGTTTTGCACTGACAGAGGGCAGGTTTGGACTGGAAACAGGGATGAAATTCCTTCCGTGTGAAGGTGGCGAGGCACTGAACAGGTTGCCCAGAGCAGCGGTTTGCCCCATCCCTGTCAGCGCTCAAGGCCGTGTCGCACGGTGCGCTAAGCAGCCAGGCCTAGCGGGAGGTGTCCGTGCACATGGCGGGGGCTGGACCGGGTGGTTCGGAAGGTGCCTGCCCCCGGGCCCATCCCGGTCTGTGTCCCTGTGCCAGCCAGGGGCCTGCGGGGCCGCGGGGCGGGCGGAACCCGCGCGCGGGGGAACGGTTCCCAGTGCCGCGTGTTGCCGGCCGGCGGCGGCCGCCTCCTCCTTCCTGCTGCCGGCGCGGGGGCGGCGGCGCTGTGGCGGCGGGGCCGGGGCATCGCGGGCCCGGGCGCCTCCTCCCCGCTCCGCTCCTTCCCATGGCCGGGAACTTCTGGCAGAGCTCTCACTAGTGGGTGCCGCGGCCGCGGGGCGCGGGGCTCGGGTGCTGCGGGCCGCCGCCGCGCTCTGCCCATTCATTGCCGGGCCGGGCGGCGGGCGCGGCGCTGAAGGGAGGCCCGGGAGCGCCGGGCGGGCGGCGGGGCCTGCTCGCCGCGGGACCCTGGCGGGAGCCGGGCTGGGCTGCGGGAACAGCCCCGCTCAGAGCCGCTTGGGAAGCGTTTGGGCACTCCGGGACACGGGTCGCGTCCCGCTGTGGGTGCCCGCGGCACGCCGGGCTCCAGCGGCGGAGTGCCGAGCCTGGGTCCCTGACACGCTTGTCCCCAGCCGTGGGACAGCCGGGCCTCGGCCTGCGGTGGACATTGGGAAGTGCGATTGATACTGGAACGGGCTGCCCAGGAAGGCGGTGGGGCCACCGTCCCTGGAGGTGTTTAAGGAAAGGTTGGACGTGGCACTCTGTGCCGTGGTGTAGTTGACGGGTGGTGTTCGGTCACGGGCTGGACTGGATCTCAGAGGTCTTTTCCAGCCTGATTGGTTCTGTGATTCTGCCCTGAAACATGCTGAGCGTCAGGGTTTGAGTGGTGCCCGTAATGAAATGGCTGCAACATAAACCCTGTTAGTGACTGTCAGGGTCTAAGATCTGTACAGCCAGCAAATGTCCGTTTGCTGCTGGTGGAGGCTAACCTCAGCCTACCCCTGGTAGTTCATGTTTTGTTGTTTAGTTTTTGGTTTTTTGTTGCTTTGTTTTCAGTTGTCTAACTTTTGAAAACCCTGAAGAAGAGTTGCTTGAGATTGCTTGTGGCTTTGTTAGAGGCCACAAGGTCTTTATCCCCGAGCCTTAACTCATGGTCTGTTTGTTCAGTATAATGTTGATAAAAAGTTGCTGAAATTATTTTCCCTTCCTCTAGCTTACAATGGATTTTGGATAAACAAGATCTATTGAAGGAACGCCAGAAAGACTTGAAATTTCTGACTGAAGAAGAATATTGGAAGCTACAGATATTTTTTACTAATGGTAAAGCTTTTTTTTATTTCTGCCCTAAAATCTGTGCAATGTGTGCCATGTCTAAATGGAAGTTTGAATTGCTTAGAGAATGTAATGTTTTCACTGTTGTATTACATATACTTTCACAGCCTATTTTGACAAAGATGTGGAATATAAAATAATTTGTTGTACTAACACAATTCTAGAAGACCTTTCAGGCTAATTAGCTATATATATAACATTTTGATCTGTAATAGGACAAAACAGTAAATTTTCTTATTTTCAAGAGGTTCTTATCAAAACATAAGAGGAGGAGAAGCAAGCAGAAACTTCTAAGCTAGTGTGTTAAAGGCTCAATGTCAAGCATTAGTACTCAGCCTGGGCTTTTGGGGGGTTCTCAGGGTGGGGTAAGTATTTTAGGTGATCTGTGCCATCCTGTTAAACGGCAGAGTTTGGAAACTTGTTATTTGTGTTTGTTCATTTAGATTCTCTGAAACCTGCAACACAGCCGCGTTTGTCTTCTGACTGATTTCCCAGTACCAGGTGGCTCTCAAATTGTCAACAAGTTTCTGAGAGCTGTTGGCAGGCAGCCTGTTCTCCCAAAGAATTTGGGACTTGTGTGTGAAGTTGTCTAAGATTTATTTGATCTTGCAAAGTATTTAGCTATCCATATGAATGGCCATACCTGAGTATATCAGATTACAAAGGCACTTAAAATTTTCTCTGTGCGATTGTTCAATATTTTAAAATCTCCTTACACAAAGGGTATTACTAACTAGTAACTTGTTTGCAAGCAGCTCTTTATATATTTATTGCAGCAGTCCTTTAAAGTACAGAATGCTTATTTTTTCAGCTATCTGGCCAGACTTGTGGCAGAGAAGTGAAGTGACTTTCCCAGAGCCACTGGAAGATCTTATGTCAGTACTGGAATGGTATCTGTGAAAGATACCGTTGCTTCTCTCTTAGCTCAGTTATTTTTGTAACAATTGCATATGCCATAAACATGATCACTATGGATACCTCTTTGTTATTGCTTATAGGGCATCAGGAAATCCAGCTAGCAATGATGTACCCATTTGATCCATTCCTGAAATTTCTTGAGGTTAAAACCAAGTGTCATAACCTCATAATACAAAAAGAGACAAAAGGAGGGTTGTGGATGTTTCTAAAACTGTATTCATATGCTACTTTTCACTAGTATTAATCTGAACTGTGAAATAAGCTTTTTAAGTGTGTCACTTCATTGTTTTTCTTGTGTAAACAAAGCTTTACAAAGTAAACAAGTTAGTTTGTTAGTTATGGTTTGTGGTTCCCAGGGTCCTTTTCCTTGGCGCTCTGTGCCTCTCCTGAAGGTAGGTGAGTGACTGGGGGCAGCTGGAGAGCAGCTCTGCCAGGATCTCCCCTGTGCCTGTACAAACGCAGCCTACTCTGCAGGAGTCAATGGTGCTGGGCTTTCTGCCCCTCTCTAGCAGAGGGCAGGACAGTCAGGGCTGCTCTGTGCTCAGGCAGAGCTCGCTGTGTTCAAACCTTTGATGTGCTGTATCCTCGCCTGCCTCTGAGCAGAGACCCTGCTTTGGGTCCCCCCTTGAATCCCATCTGCACCACCTGAGAGCAGATGAGGCTCGGCCCCAGCATGTCACATTCAGTGTGTGTCAGCCCAGGAGATGGTTGTTCCCTAAAGCAATTAAAATCTGCATGGAGAGGGGCAATTTCCTGCTGCTTTCTCATTGGAAAACAAGTGCAGTAGATCACTAACTGATTGTGTGGTTCCCTGCAGCTATGAAGAGAAGGAAAAAGATATCTTCTAAAGTAGCTTGAAAAAAATCAACTGATGTTTGTTTCTCTGTTTGGATCATGAAGCTTTAACTGGTTTTGGTTGAGAGGTGTATCAGTTGTTTTCCCTTTTTGGTTTTGGGCAGAAGCAGTAATGTTTGTGTTAGAGACTACTCAAAATACTCAGATTTAAAACAACCTTTATGAAAAAACCCCAAGCTATTGAAACTGCTTACTTTCTAAACATACAGCGATAAATGATCTTACAGTTTCTTTTAAAATATTAAAATAATTACAAGCATTGGACTTTTTCCCAGTGTATACAAGCTTCCATTTCATTAAGTCTCTCTAGGCTCTTGTCCATTTTTTTCTTCTAAACCACACTTGATTTTTCTCTGACAGCAGATGGCCTAACCATTCCTGAAAATCCCATGGGAGTATGAGACATATTTGGAGAATTCTGTTTAGCCTAATACTTGAATTTTTCTGATGCCCTAGTAGTAGGACAGCTTTTTAGCCCCATGGTGAAATTAAAGGCAAAAATTCTTTCCAACCTCCCAAGATACTCTGATCAAATGTTTAATATTTGTATAGACATTGCATACTGGGTTTAACACCCTTTTTGTAAGAATTGCTTGTCCTACTGTCACTGTCAAATTAGTCCCAGTTTGGTATTCTCTAGAAAAAGAATGATATGACACAGGCAGGGATTTAGTGTTGCTTTGGGCCTTGCCAGTGGGTGACAAATGTGTACCCTGGCTGTTTGCAGGGGATACATGATAGGAGCATGGGCAAAAAACTCTCTCTACTTGAGTGTTTAAGTAGAGAGTAAGCATTTAGTGGTGACTGACAACAGAATTGTTTGCTTTTCCCACCAACGGTCACTGTCTTGGTCTTGCTGTACATATTTTAAATATCTACGTAAATGTATTATAAAATATTATTTTTGACATTTCTCATGAGGGAGGAAAAAAAGAAGAGGGAGTCTTCACAAGAGCCGAGCCGTTCTCAGAATAATGGCGGCGCAGAAGTGTGGGAAAAATAACAAGTAACAACCTTATGTTTCACTGTGCCATTCTTTACATCCAACCCCTGCTCTTAATCCCAGCTTGATGCATCTAATTTGCTTGGCACCTTTCCTTTGCCTGGGAGGCCAAACAAGAGCTACCTGCACAGATGACACCAGGGTTGTTTCTTGGCCAACTGGCAGAGGACCACCGTGATGGAGCAGCTGACTGCATCCTCTGGTCTCCCACCCCCTCTCCCTAGACTAAATATGTCATTTTTTTAACACCTGCTGCCTCAGCCAAATTTAATGACCGTGTTTGTGTTGGCAGTTTTACATGTTTGAAAAAATACCATCCATTTTGTGTGGCACTGAAGAGCTGAGGATTTATATTTCCTGTGTCTGAATTTGTTTTGCTCTAAAATGGAATACCTGAGCTTTACCCTTCCGAGATTTGTGGTCATACTGACATTGTACACAATGAAGTCAAAGTTCCTTTTCCTTTTTGAAGGTGTCCCCAAGCTTCAGGAGACAGCGGTTCTTCACCTGCAGGTCCATAGGTTTACAGCAGCATGTTGTCTCTCTAGAGCAGCAGAGGGAGAAGACTGTGGTGCTGCTCCTTAGAATCCCCAGCACTAGCTGTGTTTTGAGACCCTTTGCTATTTGGTATCAAATTGTTTAAAAAAACTCAACTCAAGCTTTTGTTCATTTTTTTTTAAGTTATCCAGGCTTTAGGTGAACATCTTAAATTAAGACAACAAGTTATTGCCACTGCTACAGTCTACTTCAAGAGATTCTATGCCAGGTAGGACTGTTTACTATGATGGTACAAGAATAAAACATTTGCTAGGCACATTTTGGTAGCCCTTTAAAATTGGAGTTCTGTATTAAAAACAGTGCCACTTTTGTTTTCTGGATGGTGTAAAGCTTTTATGCTTTAATAAAGTTAACTTAAGCTTTGCTTTTTCAAAAGGAAGTGTGGTGCTCTTAATAGATTAATCGTTCTATATGTATGAAACAACGTATTATAATTTTGTTGTAACATTTCAGATATTCCCTAAAAAGTATAGATCCAGTATTAATGGCTCCTACGTGTGTGTTTTTGGCATCCAAAGTAGAGGTATGAAGTATTACAATTTTTTAATGTAACATTATGTGATGTATGAGAGAAAGAAAACGTTTAGGACTTTCAAATTTTTTGTCTTTCTTCATGCTTTGGGGGTTGAAACCTTCTCTTTTTTGCATAGATTTCTATAGCATTTAAGAAAAGGAGACAGAGAAGGCCTTCAAAAATTGTCTGAATTACTAACCCTGAAGTGCCTCTGAAAATTGGAAAAAGATTTTAAATGGCTGTTTCACTGTCACACAGTGTTTAAAAATTTACATACACTGTATCTTAAATTGTGTATCTCTTAAGCAGTGTCTCCTTTCTGGTGTGTTTCTCCTTATTTATGTTTACTCAAACTTTAAAACATAATTGGAATTTTTTTCCTAATTATCTTGTTCTATTTCATATAGCAAGGGATCCTCAGAGTTTACCACACTTTCATTACTTGGATTAAAAGTGTGTTGTAGCTCATGCTCTGTCCTTGGGAAGTTATCATAAGGGCCTGACCCATTAGGGGTCGTGGTGAGAGGGCTCCATGCCTCCACCATCGGTACTCCCCTTTGAATGTGGCCAAGAGTTAGCATCAGCTGGGTGCTGCTGTTAGTTCTCTGTAATGCAGCAAGTTTACAGCTGTTTGAGAAGTGTCTGTGTAGTGGAAAAAAGTCCAATTGGCCACTTTATTATATGTCAGCACTAAGTTTTACAGAAGGAGCTCAAATACTGGTAGAAACAGTCCTACTAAACTAGTGGTGACATGTGATACTGTTGTCTGTACAAGTACTATGACACTCTTCAGTGTTGGGAAGACATCAAGGAGAAGAGAGGAAGTGTTGGAGAGAGTGATTTTTAATCAACCAGTTAAATGAGCCTTTAAGCAGGCACAGACATAGAGTGTATATACATAGGTGTAGCTTAAATTAGAAGTCTGTGTAGCTTTCCTTCCTGTGTAGCCTTCCTAAAGCTTCTGCAGCTTTAGAGGGCAGCACTATTGATTCAGCTATCGGCTTCTCTGAAAGAACACTCTATACAGAAAATTTTCAGATTGCTGACTGTCAGCACAGGAGCTAAGACTTTACAAAAACAAAACTAAAAAGAGTAGTTAATGGCAGGTTTCTAAAGACAGTTTTCTTTCCAAATGGGATAAGGAAAAAAATAACCTCCTTGAAGCCTTCTTCTCTATTTTGTAAAAGGAATGTTAGCCAGCTGAGCTTTTGGTGCTTTTGTACCTTTCGTAAATTATTACTGTTCCTCATAAACAACCAAGGAAATTAATCAATGAAATAGCTCTTAGGTAAAGAGTTTAACCCTGTTTACCTTAAGGGGAAAAAAAAAGGGGTGGGGGAAAAAACCCAAATACTACAAAAAGAAGCCCAGTTTAGTAAGAAGCCATTATTTTAATTTGATAACAGTGTGAGTGTATGGTGTTTCAGGTGGTTCACCTCATTTACCATTCTTTTTCTTCAGGAATTTGGTGTTGTTTCAAATACAAGATTGATTTCTGCTGCTACTTCTGTATGTAAGTATCAGTAATTTTCATTACACCCTAGTTAAATATCTCTGTAGGGAGATCAGTTGGTTTCTTTGCTTTTTTTTAAAAGGTATTTTTTTATCAAATCGTGGAGGATTTGATAAAAAGAGCCAGTTTTATAAGAGCCAGTTAAAACCATTTAGAATTATTAGATTCTCTTTCCAAATACAGAGACAGAAGGGTCCTTTTTGTATTAGTTTTTGGGTGATTATGCTTGGAACTTATGCCAGGCGTAAGCAAAAATGAAGTAATAAAATAAAACTATTGAAATTTATAAACAATCTTGAGTAGTAAATTGAATGCTGAACTACTCAAAGATACAATTGGAAATTTGCATCTTTGCCTGTTTAATAAGAGGTATGGCTCTGTGAAAGTACCTGTTTTAAGAATTTTTGGTAGGCTGTATACCTTCAGATTTTTTAAAATCCTTTTTACCTCATCATAAAATTAGTCTTTGGTATTTATTTCTAAAAATACATTTTATGACCAATTGTTCACAATAAATTCAATAAAATTACACTGTAGTTACTTAGTTCTCTATCTCTCCCACTTGCCTTTGTATTACCCAGTTTATGTAACTTTCATGTCATCCATCAAACTCTTGAAGTGATGTCTTCCTTAGCTGAATGCAGTTATCTGACCCAGAAGGTCCAGCTGCTCTCAATGGGCAATTCCTGGCAGTGCTCTTCCAAATGTAGGTCAGTGCTTTCAAAATCCCTTGTAGCTGTTGAGGGGCCAGGTGACTGGCTGCATCTGCAGCCTCCAGATGCAGAGAGTGTATCAGTCCATGGCGCTGGCCGTGTGACAGTTCTGCCACCAGGAACTGAAACACATCTTTGGTGCCAGCATGACCAAGACCAGTACTGGATTTAGCACTGAGAGTTGCTATTTTGATATCAGAAGCATCATTGTGTGGAAGTTTTGATGCATAAGTGTGACGGTTAGATGGATTTTGGTAAATACGCGACAGCTGATTTTACTTGGATATCTAGTTCTTAGCTGTGCTGTTTCTCAAAATTCTAGTCTCAGGACCCTACAGAAGATTTTCCCCACAGCTCTTCCTTCAGATCCAGAAGTCCTGTCAGTCCTGATAAGGACTCTGCATTTCATGGAAGTGGGGGCAGGCAACAGGCTTTCTCCAATTATTTATTCTTTTATTCTACCTGGTCTTCCTTTACCACAGTTGCTTCAGTAGCACACAGCAGTTTTTGGGAGTTCTTAATACCAAAGTCAAGACAAGTAAAAGTGAAAACAAGCTAACAAAAGGACTGGCGAATGCAATAATGACTGGGTTAAGCGGTTTGCTTGCTTTTATCTCAGTAGCAACATAAAGTTAATAACACTTGTTTCCTTTGTAAGGAAGATGATCTTAACCTGGTTTTTAACAACCTCTTCCAAAGGTTTTTCTTCTGTTAACACATCTCACTAAAATGACAGCTCCATGTAGTGGTTGTGTCTGCAGCTTGCTTTGTGGGAAAAAATGCTTTTTCTCCCTATCTTCTTTCTCAAATTGGTATTTTTTTACCATGTACATCTTCAGTTTGCATGCATCTTGAGAAACTTCTATTAATTTTTCTCTTTCTTGAAGTAATTAAAATTTCCTACCAATAGCCCCGTCTTGGCGTCCTACAACAAATTTTCTAATGAAGTTCACCTTAGGTCTAAATGGTGAATTCTTTGGTCCAGAGGACGGATACTGTCTTTTCTTTGAACTGAATGTCATACTGATTTTCTGGGAGTAATATCAATAGTATCATTTAATAAAATACTGTCTGTCATTAATATAAGGAATATTGTCAACTTCCAGGATGTTAAATGTTACTTGTTTTCCTTAGATGACAAGGACTTAAAATAGCTTTTTAAATGTTTGTGTGTACAAATGTCAAATCCACATCTTCAAGTGTTCTTGTTTTTCTTTTCCAGCATTCTAACATGAAATCACTCTGGTTTTGCATATTAGCATACTTCTTACCTGTACACTAACTGTACTCATTCTCTTTGCAAAATACACAAAGATTAATTAAATATCTCAATTGGAGACAATCATTACATTATGGACCTGCAAGAAGTCTGCCTGAGCTCCCTTACCCTGCCCTTGGGCTTGCTTTTCTAAGACTTCATTAGTTCCTTTAAAATCTTGCATGTTGAAGGATCAAACCTATGTAAAAAATCCCAGATGAAAATTCCATTTGGATTTAGTGTTTGTACTGAGATCCTGAACATCAGTAGCTGGAGAGCTGTGTGAATGATGACTTGTGGGAAGTTAGCTGTCCCTGAGCTAGTTGGTGGTTAACCAGAAGACTTTATGGTGTCCAAAGCAGCAGTCAAATGTCTGGCTGAGTATGTGTGCAAATCTGGGTTTCAGGTGTATTTCTCTTTCCTTTTCAGGATCTTAAATCTTGTAATTTATCTCTTCTCTTTGAAATAAAGTTTTTTGTTCTGAAAGCTACAAACTGAGAGTTGTGTTGCCAGGTAGATTTGAAGGGCGAATTAATAGAAAGGGAAAGACATAAAAGTACTAATTACATTATTTTTAACATACTTTTTTCTGTTTACTGTAGTGAAAACTAGGTTTTCATATGCCTTTCCAAAGGAGTTTCCTTATAGGATGAACCATGTAAGTATGCTATTTGAAATACAACTTGATCAAATAAATTAATATTTGCTAGCAGGAAATGATTTCTTTTAAATACCAAGAAAGACATATTCTCATATTCATGTGTCAGGCTTATTCATGATTAGTTTTGTGTAGAATATTGGGAAAGTTACTTTTAAAAATAATGAAAATCTTATGTAACCTCCTTTCCTTAAATTTTTGACAGGAAAGACAAGTGGGGTGACTGAAATGTAGTTTTTCTATAGCAGGATGAGAAAAGAGATTTAGGTTTTTTTGAATATTCTTGGTTACAAATACATTGCTCCAGGGAAAGTAAATGGCCTTTACACCTGGAATGCTTCCAAGCTTGCACACATGAGCAGTTGGCTTACAGAAAGCAGTTTTATTTTTGCCTGTAAAATTTAATGGCTCTTGAAAAATTGTTCTTAATTAGTACTTTAAATTTACCAGTGGCTTTCAAGGTATTCTAGTCACAATACTGAGAAGTTCTGTAGTTTTTCTTAAAACCAATTTTTACCTGTGCTGTAGAATTTTGAAAGCTAAACATCTAAATAGTTTTAGATTGGCTGTAACAAATACCACTTTTTTTTTTGTTTGCTTTTCACCCAATCTAGAAAGCCAAATGATACATCAGAATATAAAATACCTAAGATCTTATAATAAAACTGCACTGCTCTTTTATAGATAAAGGCAGATGGAAATACGTTTTGGAGTACTGCTTTTGTCTAGCCAAAGTTGTCCAGTCTTTTCCTTCATGTCACCAATACATCACCTTCTGTATTGACAGTGAGAGCTGGTTTAATTGCTACAGTTACACAGAAAATTTCATAGGAAATTAAATCTGATAATGTTTTGAAAGGCTATTTGACAAGTTAGTGAGCTGATAAAGATGCTCTAATTCTACAAAAGAACTTCTCTGTTGCTGTGAAGTTTTTATGGACTGGGAACAATTTGCTGCTACCAGGTATTGAAACAAATCGGGCAAGTGCTGCCAATGAAGCAGTCTTTCACAGCAAACTTGATGCAAAATATTTAACCTGTTTGTTACTATGACTGGAGTTGAGTTATAACAGTGATAAGGCAATAGCCAATAATAGTTCTGTTTGGTTTTGTAGTTTCAGATAAAATGCATTTAGGACTGTTGGAAATAGTTGTTGAGAATTCCTGTGCATGTGTGATGTTAAACTATGTGTCAGTTAATTCTTTCTGCTGCCTTAAACATACTGCTTATTAACTGTGATTTTGCTTCTTTACAGATACTAGAATGTGAATTCTATCTCTTAGAATTAATGGTAGGTTGGGTTTTTTGGTGGAACTGCTTCTGTTTTTGTGAGAGAGGTAACTGTATCTAAGTCCTGATGCAGGGACTGGGATGTCAATGTCCTTTTTCCTAGATGGAATGGCCAGTTATGACCATGAAGAGTTGTATTCTTTCTATGCCCTCTCCTTCTTGCCTGGAAGAATCTGGGGCTACACATACATATTCTAGCAGAAGGTGTGGGTACTATCCCATTCAGGCTAGTCTGTAACAACCTAATAATTAGAGTAGGAGTAATCTTCTAGGAAGTGAGATGTGGGTTTGAATCCTGTGAGGAAGAAACTGAATTCAGGCCTCCCATTTTCTGAGATGGTGCTGTAACTATTAGGCTGTTGGATGAAAGGAGCACAGTGGGACATTTTCTTCCAGATCCTTTCAAAGAAAGGAGTCATACCTGATTTTTGTAAGAGTAGCTATCCCATTGCTGTGTTTGCTCAGGTAGCTGAAAGGAGGCAATCCAGGCTTCTTACAGGGCTTGGATAAAGTAGTGCCTAATTTCTGCATATGGCTTGGACTTGGATGGGTTAATCACTGAACAAGTACTACTGTACTAGAGCAGTTCTGCTCAAATGCAGAGAAAAGAAGTGAGAAACCAGGGAGCAGTTTACTGAGTTAGACAGCAGATGAGAGAACATGTTTTGGGAACTGAACACAGAGATCAGATGAAAGGTTTTGTTTGTACCTACAAGTAATTTTAATACAGTTTTTAGATTCCTGTTTAGATTTAGTCTTTGATACCTCTGCTATTCATGGCAGTAACTCTTGAGTTTTGTATACAGGAGTTTTAGCACAAGCTTGCATTTACAAGAAGTTTACGTTTTGGGGATTCACTTATTTTTCCAATGCAATATATAGTGTATAGTGCAGTAATGGTGTTTCACGTAAGTGTTCAGCACATGTAACTTAATGTGGCTTTTCCCTGTAATATCCACACATTTGGCTGCTTTTAGCAAGAGGATTATTCCTTCCTGTTTACCTGGACCTGAAATGAGGGGATTTGAGAGCAATGGAATTTTTCTTATCTTTCTTTCCAAACCAGCATCAATTATTTTGGCATGTTCTCCATGTATGGTATTTAGTAGCAGACTGTTTTCTGGCAGCGTTTTGTATTTCCAAGTGGGAATTACGGGTTTGTAAGCAAATGAGGTTTCAGTGTGCTGCAGATGTGACTTTCTGTGTCTCTGAGGGGAAGGACTTTGACAGACTGGCAACTGTGCTGTATAATGGTATTCTAGAGAGAGCACTGCCCTCATTAGAGCAGGGCTAGGTGTTAGAATGCTACTCGAAAAAAATCACTAATTGACTTGTAAACAAAATGTTTTAATACGAACTGACAACGTGCTCTGCATTGAAATCTAACTTCTGTCCTGATGACATTTTTCCTAGGACTGCTGTTTGATAGTATATCATCCTTACAGACCTTTGCTCCAATATGTGCAAGATATGGGCCAAGAAGACATGCTGCTACCTCTTGCATGGTAATGAAGACAATGGAAATAGTTCCTCCTTTCATCAAGAAAGCAAGTGTTTAACTGTTATGCTTCAAAGGTGGTTAAGCTTTTGCTGAACCAAGCAGGCTTAGCCATTTTTGAATAAAAAGGGTGTCCTAGTTAACCTGTGCAGGTATATGTCCCTGACTTAGCTTATTCTGGCTTTAGCCCTGTAATGATTTTACTTTGCATTGGTCTAATTTTTATTTTTTAGACTAGTTCTAGTGGCACAGTTTCAACATTACTGAATGGTGACTTTGAGTAGAGGAAATTTCTTTCTGTCAACATTGTCATAGGAGGTAAAAGCAAATATATAGGGTTTTTTAGCTGTTTTAGGAGAACTCTTATTCTTCAACTGTTTCAAATACAGAAAGACAGTAGAAGTACTACTTTTATGCTAGCCTTTGCTTATTTGTCAAACAGATAATTACTTGATGGTATACATACACATCCACTGCAGAAAGACATTTATGTACTAAAAGAATGATTCCAAATAAACTTCTGCTGTGACTACAAGGGAAAAAAAAGGCTTTAAGAGATTTTTACAAGGGAAAAGATCTCTTTTCTTGATATTTTGCCCTGCAGCCTCATTGCTTTGACCATCTAGAAAACTTACAAAATATTTGTAAACCAACAGCAGTTTTTGAAGGAATATAGTCTAAAGATGAATAGGAAGATACTTACAAGTTCTTTTTTGCACAGGAGGATAGTGAATGACACATATAGAACTGATCTTTGTCTGCTGTACCCTCCTTTCATGATAGCTCTAGGTAAGTAACAGGTAATGTCTCCTGTCATGTTTACCTGGATGTATTCTGTGCACTGTCCCATCACAAACATTCCTCAGAGTGCCCTCATAAGGTGCTTCAGGCTGTGTCTCAAACAGCACTGACATTGTAGCCTTGCAACTTAAAAAGCCTAAAAGAAAAGTCAGATAATTAATCCTGAGTTTTCTTTGTTGAACTGTATAGCATTTATAAAAAACCAGAATATTTCTAACTGTATTTGGAGTGTTATCTTTGTTCAATATCCATGTCACCTGATCTTTTCAGCTTGCCTACATGTGGCCTGTGTTGTCCAGCAGAAGGATGCAAGGCAATGGTTTGCTGAGCTGTCTGTTGATATGGAAAAGGTACTCTGTTTTTTATTCCCACCACTTGTTATGGACTGACCAGAAATGGTAGTCATGGTTATCTTACACATCTGCAATACTGATTTGAACTTAAAATTCACTGCTCTTGATAGATGCTGTTGCAGTTAGGCAGATCCCTTTGGAAGGGAGACAATGTCAGGTTATTTGGTTATCACCCTGCTCTGAAAGTCAAGATAAAACCATTGCATAACAGAAGACCATTGCTGGTATTGCCATTTTCCAGACAGAAATATAAACCAAATATCTTTTACACTGTTTGCCAGAAAAATAATTCCCAGCATTTTTCTGTCACACAAGGTTGTCAGTATGAGTTTGACTTTTAAATTCAAGTGCATGTGATTTTCTGATTCACTTTTCAGCATCATGCCAGCAACCTGTTCTCATTTTCTCCATGTACATGTGCAGAGTGTAGGATAATGTAGAACATTTTTGATATTTTCAGGATGCCCAGCACTGTGACTTCAATCACTGCTAAGCAGGGAGACACCAAGATCATTCAGTTGAGTTCCCTACTAATGCAAATTCTGTGTCAAATAATCCCCTTCATTAATTTATTAGGTTTCAGGGTGCAGTTGTCCTTACATGAACAATGTTCTTCATCCCCACTAGTTTCTTTTACTTTTTAGGTTGGCTTCTTTAAGCTTTATTTAGCTCCAGCAAGCAAATTGAAGTAGTACTCATATTCCTTATCACACTGTTTCACTTAGCACATTTTTTCCAGTGTTTTTTTGAAACTGAGTGTCTGGAATTAACTAGCCTGTTATAATTGAGAGGTACCATTTCCCTCTGTGCCTGTGGTATTGCCCTTTATCCCACTGCTGTTACTGCATTGTGTTTGTATTCCAGGATTTGTCTTGAAATGTAAACACAGTGTGGATACTATGCAGCATGGAGAGCTCTGTGAATTATGCTGTCATACATTCAAAGGCAGGGTGGTAATAAACTGGCAGCAAAGGAGAACCAACATGTACAATAGATAAAATTACCATAAGCTTGATACTGAGTATCTTTGAATGTTTACTTGTATTAGATCTTGTGTCAGTGATCCATGGGCATGGTGAAGCACCAACTGTGATTTTTCATTTCAAGGACAAACTATATTGCTCTAGCACTTAATCAAACATCATGTATTAAAAAGAAGAAAGACGTCTACTTTATTAATTTAGAGAATGATGACACGTATAATGAATGAAATATTCTCCAGCTTTTATGTAGAATATTGCACTAGAAATTTAAAGGGAAGATAGGAAGTCCAAACTGGTATGGAATGCTTACACTTCCAGAAGCAGAATATGAAGTGTCAGCAATTCTTATTATATGTGTATAGGAATGTAAGAAGTATTGAAAAACTCCTGGGCTCTTTCTTGGAAGGAAAGAGTTCAGATGAATGTTTTGTGGTTTTGGGCTTTTGTTTTCCCACACCATATCAGGGAACCCCTGATATGTATGGAACATTGATAATCATCAATTACGGTATTGATAATGCATGGTCATATAGCTGCAGTCATGCTGCCCAAGTCTGTGTTTTCCCAGGAGCTTAGTTATAAGCTGTGACAGTAGTAATTAAAATGCTAATTAAATGCTTTTTTGGGACCAGAGTAAATGTGAGGCAGCTCTGTTCATAATGTGAAAATTGTGTTGCTTAGTTCCAGTTTGGGGCCCGTTTAGTTAATTGCACACTGAAACAGGCTATGTATGACAAAGGTAAAATCACTGTTGTGTCTGACCTTAGGAACTCTTTTCTTTCTAATACAGATTTTAGAAATAATCAGGGTTATTCTGAAGCTGTATGAGCAGTGGAAGAACTTTGATGAGAGAAAAGAAATGGCTACTATTCTTAGTAAAATGCCTAAACCAAAACCACCTCCAAACAGGTACGGTACTTCCTTATTGCACCTTTCCTATGGAAAAACTAGACTGATCTTAAGAATGTGTAAATGTTTCATTCAAGGTACAGTGTATGTTTTTACAGTGCAGATATTTCTGATACAAAACCAGGCTGATTGTTCAGGAGCTGGTGGGAAGCATAACATTCACTATCTTATGGAGAGTGTTAATGTGATTAGAATGTGATCAATACAGCTCAGCAACTCTAAGGAACCCCAGTGTGAGGCTCCATGGCCAGATTCAATGGAACTGGGCCTGCTTGATGTCGTATTTAATTACTGTGATTAAATACCACTGCTGGGAATCTGCACATGCAGATTCCTGTGCACATGCTTATGTAATGTGAACTTTGCAGTGTTGACTTCAGAAGTAGATTCAGCAGGCAGCTTCATGGTCATATATTGAATTTATTATTCACATAAATATGGTGAGGTTATTTATGCATGCTGAGAATAACCTTTGGGTTTTTTATGAAACTGAGCAGAATATTTTGACCTATTTATGTGTATGTTGAAATATAACAAAGTAAAAAAATATTTATTACTTTCAAAATACTGTATTTTTTAATTAAAAAAAAAAAAAGGATAAAAATGTAATGTGGTGCTTCTTATTAACAGACCTGTTTTTGTTTTCTTCAACAGTGAAGGAGAACAGGGTCCAAATGGGGATAAAAATGTAATGTGATGCTTCTTATTGAACAGACATGTTTTTGTTTTCTTCAACAGTGAAGGAGAACAGGGTCCAAATGGTAGCCAGAACTCTAGCTATAGCCAATCTTAAGGCATTCCAAAGAATTTCTTTATGGACCACTTTGACTCAAGACATCCTGGGATATTTCCTGTGTTCATGAAATGGACAGAAGGTTTTAGTAACATCTTTGACAAAGAACTCGAAGAATAAATAGCTTGTTTGTGTCAAGCATCTTGAAAGCTTTTTCTCTAAAACTACATCATTTTCTCTGAGGCTGGAACAAATGTGCTAAGATTTTTCAGTGTAAGGAATCAAACTTTAAACCAAGCTGCAAAAGATTAACGTTTTTCACTCAAAACAAATAGTTCATTATTGGTTTTATTTGTGTTGAAGTGAGCTATTTTTAGAGCGACAGTAACCCGAGGCCTAAGTGTAACTGTATTAATGACTTGTGTTGTTTTCATTTTGTTTGTGACTGAAGGAAGATAGTGCACTCTGTGTTGAATCTATCCATTACCTTCAGTTTTGTTGATTAAAAAAAAAATAAATACAGATTCTGCAACAAGTAACACACAGTCCTTCAGAAACAAATGCCTAGAAAAGCTTGTAAAGAACATTGTTACGGTTTTAATGAAAACTGCAGGAAAGAAAGTCAGTTTCTGGTTTTTGGTTTAAGAAAGCTATATTCCTCAGTAGATCTACTTGGTTGTTTTTGCCACGATACAGTAGCCCAGCTTGCCAGAGAAGTGCAATATGTATAGTGATTCTGCAGTTTTCTGAAACATTTCAAGTATTAGAAATTAAGACAACCCAACATACTAGGATTTTTGTTTTTTTCAAATAAATGTACTGTATGGTACAATCGGAATATTTCACAATCAAGTACAAGTCTGGATATTATTGCTATTTTTATGGTGGATTTTTTTGTAGAGAAGATATACACTGTTAGTCTGCCTTCACTGTTAGTGTGAATTTGCGTGGTTCATTAGAGAGTTTATTTAAGAGGATCAAGTGTTTGGTGAGCTTCATACTGGCTAATTTTAATTGGGATGTTAGGAGCAACTCTAGAATAACTGAAATGGGATTCCTTGGTTACCTTTGTGCTGGAGAAAATGAGATTTCTTCAAACAGAAGGCCATATCCTGCATTCCTTACTCAGGCAGATATCCCACTGAAGACAGGAATTGGCCTTAATTGATTACTTGATTTTTTTAGATAACTTTGTTTCTAGCTAATTTCTGTACAACTTTATTTTGAATGATAATGCCAACTTGCCCAAGTATAAAAGTTGAATGATAAAGTTCAGTAACATTTTGTTTTGTTTTGTTTTCCTGAAACAACACATTTCACTGCTCTGAAATCCTGGAGGGAAATTGAAAATGTGTGATCTGTGATGTGTCTTGGTTCAAAAAACCCTTGTCCCCTTAAAAAAACCCCACCTGTTTTTGCAAATAACTGTCTTTGTAACTGGCTGGTCATTCAGTGAAATATAACTGAAGTGTTTTTGTATGTAGCTCATTAGGCTACTAGCATTTATTTCTGTTCAGGTTATTTCCATAAACCATTTTGTGAACCAGCCCCAGACACTTTGGTGAGGTGGAAAAAATATACATTTTGGTCTTTGCTACTTGGTTGCCATTTGGTCCATACCTTTTATAGACACTTGACTGATGAAGTGTAATTTGGCTATTTTGCTTTCATTTCTTGAAGTCTAAAATGTGCGATTTGTAACGTGGACTTGGGGAATAGAAATAAATCAAAGCAACTTGACCTGTGTTGTGTGCAGTAATTAAACAGGAACTATTCTTTAGGTAAGCATCAGTCTTCTCACATATACTTTCTGCCAGGAAAGTTCATGTTTTGGATTGAGGAATTAATTAAGAATTCTGGCTAGATTAAAATTTTTCTTGCTGCTGAAGAGTCTTTGCAGACTTGACTTCACACCTTAAAGCACAATGGGACCTAAATCTTGGAGCTAAAATGTCAGGCACTTCTTGATGGTACCTAGAAGTTTCTTAAGGCATTTCTCTACTGGGAAGATGAGGCTAATTTTACCAACTTTGATTCCAGTAAAAACAGTGAAAGGCAATAAAGTGCAGTCGAAAGAGCTGGATTCAGTGAAGACAGTTTTAAAAAGATGTAGTTTTGAACAACAGGAAGTGGAACATAATGTGAATTCAACAGTCTTGTTACTAAGCATGCAGAAAAAAAATCACCTTTCTTGTGCTTCACGTCAAAGGAGAGGTGCATAAAAATGTGGTATCTCATTGAAAAGAGAGGTAGCTAAAACTCTTCACAGATTATGTGGCAACAGGTTACTCTGAAGTGTCAAAGCAAACACAAGCCATCTATGCCAAAAAGACTTAAAGAAAAATCCCAAAGGAACCAAACTGGATCAGACAAGTTATTTAACTTAAACCCGTCATTTGGAAGGCAAATTAGAAAGGATCACCTAATTTGGTAAGCTACAAATAGTATGAGCAGAAGTCTTGGAAAACCCTACCACGATTAATAAAAAAGGAAAATAAAAAGGAGGTATACAGTAATTATCCCATTATAAAAAAAACCCAAACCAAATCTCCTCAGTTCAAAAAAGACAGTAGATCTAGAAAAATCACAGGTGGTGTGAAGACTGATAGGTGACAACTGCTCACTTCTGACAGAAGGAGCCAGAGTAGCTGATGAATACATGGCAAGTTCAGAAGCAACAAAAGGAAAGATTTCTCACCACTGCTGTGTCTGATAGGAGTTTCTGATGAAAATTTACAAATACCCATATATAGTAAGACATGCAAAGCCTGAAACACTCTTGAGTTGTAAATGAGAGTAATCTGGAGATTGTCCCACTACATACTAATCCTGGTTTATGCTCTTCCTCAGATGTTTATTACGAATTGCTGCCATACAGAAAATAATGGGCTAGATAGATCCTGGCGTAACATAGAATAACTTGCTTATTTTTTGTGGTTATGTAGTTTTAGGTGTTCCCAAGAAATGCTAATTTAGCTACAAAAGGAAGCATTGCCTGCTCATGACTAAGTACTGACTTAGTTGATTAGAGTGGCTTGCTTTGTTCATTTGTATGCTGAAGTTTGGTGGCTTGATCAATACAGCTAAGCACGATGAATTATACATTTAACTAAATCATTAAATCCTCTATACATTCTGACCTCAATGATCTTCAAAAGGCATTGTTAGTCCTGGTGAGGCCTGGCACAACAGAGCCAGCAGTAGGTTTCTCTTGTCCCCTTCACATTAGAATATCTGCAGTTTGACTATTCTAAACCAACTACCCCACACAGGTACTTGAGAAATAATAATTTTATTTGTCCTATCATCATTAGTTTAAACAGTCACAAACTACATCATACAAAAAAAGTAAACAGAATCTGCACTTAGGTTCTCTTCACATGCATTCATCAAAACCATAACCCAAAGTAAAGGCTGAAATGTTGAGCAAATGTAATGTCCTCTGTTTGTGTCATAGTCTTTGGGTATAATTTAAACTAGACAGTTGATATGTATGGCTGTTTGAAGGTGAACATCCATGTGGGTGGGGCTGTCATCTTCATTTCTTTTCTGGAGGTTCATGTTTTACCCAGTCGTCAAAGCCACCAGCATACTGCTGAACTCTGAAAATATGCAGAAGATACCTTTCTCAAGAAGAGTCTTTAATATCGTCACTTAAAGAGGACACAGCAAAACAAACCCCAAAACCAAAAGCAAAAAATAAACATCCAAAACCCCACAAACAACAACAAAAAAAAAAGAAAAACCTACAAAAACCAGATTAAAATAAACCCCAAAACCACACAAACAACAAAAAAAAAAAAGAAAAACCTACAAAAACCAGATTGAAAAAAACACAGAAATTTTCTGCAACCACATACATTTGTACCTAGCTTCAGTGAGCCAGATGGACATTCCTTTAATACTGCCTGCTTCCATGCAGTGAGTTCTGTAACTCTTTTCTTCCAAATTACAATGTTGGAGTTCAAACATCAAGCAAGAAATAGTAACTGGATCAATGGAACAGTTGTCAGTTCTTTTTTAAAAGAGTGAGAAGAAACTCACAGCAGTGGGAGATATACACATCTATTTATTATGACTAATTCTTCAGTTGTCACCAAATAAACCCTGAACACTGGTCTTTACTTCCTTGCAAACCTACATGCTCTACAGGTCTGACATCAACCTGTGCTAAACTAAACTCTGTAAAACAAAAATCCACTATGCAAAGCAATATTGACTCCTTCAACTGGGCATCATGAAAAACAGGTAATGGAGGATATTTTTCAGTCTGAAACAAGAACATGCTTCTATACTTTTGACTAGAAATAATGAATGTCCCAGTTCAGTGAAAACGTGAGCAAATAACCAATATCTTAAATTTTATCTGCAGTCTTCAAGACAGTGAGCACCTTCCAAAGATAGGTTTAACAATCCTGCAAACCAAATGCTGCATTTCACTCTATCATCATCTCATTGTTTTGTCAGCTATTGCCTTCACTGCTTTACTGCTGGCAAATAATCCAAAGGAAGCAAAGGCATCCTTTGTCAACAGTGAGCTGTAAAGGTAGAACTGCAATTCAACAAAGGGTGTGGTTTCTTAAACTATTTAAGACCGTACTACTGCCAAAGCAAGTAGTTCTCCACCTTTAAAATCTTCCTGCATCTCAAGCCTAGTGCTTATGGAGCTCTTTAAGGAAGAAACATCTCAGCAAGGGAGCCCTGAGAGGCACAAGGGCCCTTTAGCGTGGCCTTGCAGCAGTTTGTGTCACCAGTGGCACATGTGCAGAGCTGCTAAAGGGTTGTTTCAGAGGGTGGTACACCTCACTTTGCTGCAAGACCCATGGCAACCTTCCAGGTTCAGTGGAGACAAGAGATGTCTAACTCAAATACCAGTTCATATTCCACATGTAAATGTTTACCTTTGTACACAGGTGAGTATGTGTTCTGCTTCATGGGGGAAGCAGCATTAATCCCATCCTTACACACAAAATCGTACCTGCTGAAACCCAAGGACATGGCAAAACCAAGTGCTTGTTTACTTCTTGTTCCTGCCAAACAGGAGAAAACCACAGGGTCTGACTTGGATGGCATTTTTTGATTATACTGCTCCTTGAACTCCGTTGGGTCCATTTGTAGAGCTTCTATTAATTCACCCACTGGAAATACAGAAAACAAGCTACTGTTTATTCTCCATCCAAAGACAGGTTTACATTGCAAGATTTCTAACTCCTCTGGAGGAAAAGTTCATCCTCATTACACGCCAACAGCTTTTCAGCAGCATTCCTCTTTGCTCAGTCACCACCAGCTGACCATTCCAGCCAGGAGGAACACGGAACACCCGACGCCTGCAAACAGCGGCGTTGACAACTTACGCGGTATGTTGATGGACTCGGGGATTTTCCCAAACCTGTCGATCTCCCACCTCTCCCGCACGTCGATGTGAAGGACGTTGGCCTTCTTCAAGTCTTTGAGCTCCTGGTAGGACAGGTTCGGCGCCGCGGCGGCGCAGAGGCTGCGGCAGGCGGGGCCTGGCGGAGGCGCAGCCGGTCAGCGCGGCCGCGGGTCCGCTCGGGGCGGGCAGCGCCNCCCGCAGGGCCCGCGCCGCCCGCCACCAGCGCCCGGGGCCCATCCCGGCTCCCCGGCGATGGCGGCCGCACAGCCCGGCCCGGCCCGGCCCCGCAGGCGGGGAGGAGACACCGCCTTCCCGCCCCTGGCACCTGCCCGCTCACACAGACACCGCCTCCGGCTTCGGGACATCCAGCAGTTACCCTGCATTGCCTGGGCAGGGTAAATGCTACCAGCCAACCCAAACTGTGGACTCGCCTGAAAGTACCAAATGCTGGGAGATGAAACAGATGAGGAATTTTGATGCCAAATCAAATTTAAATAATCCCAGCCTCTGAGTGTGTCGAGGAGAAAAGGTGATTTTAGCACTGGCCTGCACCGCTTTCACCACTGTCACTGTTCCCTTACAGCCACAGGAGACGTGGTCCAGGCACCAGTCTCATTTCTGGTGACCAGTGAGTGGATGCGAGGAAATGGCATGAAGCTGCATCACAGATTAGGTTAGATATTAGGAAAACCTTCACCCAGAGGGTGGTCAGGCACTGGAACAGCCTCCTCAAGGAAGTGGTCATGGCTCCAGACCCACCAGTCTTCAAGAAGTGTTTGGACAATACACATGGTGTGTAATTCTTGTGGCTCTACTGTGCACAGTCAGGAGTTGGACTCAAACTTTGTATGTCCCCTCCAGCTCAGGATATTCTATAGTCGATGATCCCTGGTTTCAGTTTTGAATGTTTTGGTTTTGAACTGAAACCCTAGTTTTAGTTTGGAAGCTGCCAGTCTTCTAGCCCCAAGCCAAGATGCATGTGAGTGGAGAAATTAGTGTCTGTTCCACATACTTTAAATCAGTATTCTGTATTTACTGCATACCTTTGTAGATGTGTTACGTACCAGCAATTCTAGTCTTTAAAAGCAGGCATGCTGGATCTTCTCATAAAAGATGCACTTTGAGGAATAGGTTGTTGAATCTTTACTAATAAGTTTTCCTTCTCAAAACGAGAACAAAATATTTCTTGGTACTGTAAAGTGTGACAAATTGAACTTGGCACATATAACTGGTTCACTAGCTGCCCTTCTGCCAGCCTCTCCATATGGCCTCCTTGACAGGCATTTGCAAATTGTCTGTCTGAAGCAGTATATCTATACACAAGCAGGTTTATTGCATTTTCCATTTCCCACAAGGTAAGGATAGAATACACCACTTCTAGAAATTATCTTCTGAGGGATAATTTACTGTATATTTTATCTGTAGTAAAATAATGACCACAGTTAATCTCCACTTATTGCATGTATCACCATAAGGACCATAAAGCGTTCAATGTGAAGCACCAGAACACTTGTCATATGAAATGCACATTCACAGAAAGAAGCATTTTCATGGTTTTGATTTGACCCCGGATCATACTATGCACAAAAAGAGAACACACTAACTTGCTTGCTGAAATAGGAAACATTCACTAGCCAGTTTGTGAAAGACTCAGAGAATTTGAGGTCAGAACAGATAAAGCTTAGCAAACTCCTGCAGCTTGGTGAAAAGGTGGGAAGCAGCACATCAAATTCTCCTTTTGTCTTCATAGCTGCACTCAGTCAACTCCTCTTCAGCAGCTTCCTTAATTTTCCCTCTTGGGACTTTCCATTTCACCTCTTCTTCACCTGACTTTCCAGTTCTGTACAACAACACTCAAACCCAGCGGCACCCAACCCAGTTTCCAGTAGCTCCCTCCTCGAGTGCTGGACATCCTTTACTCTGCCTGTCCTCGGTGGGGATATACACATTTAATGCTGCTCTCCTTCCAGTCCCTCCCACGGTGTCTGCCGGCCCAGACCCTGCTGCATAACCTCTGGGCACGACTTTCCACAGCCCTGCGCGCTGCTCACGGGCACAAACCCAGCGCAGCATCTCCAGCTCTTTCAGCAAAATTCAGAAGTGAAGGTCACCCCAGCCTTTGCCCTGAGTTTCCAGGGTGCCCCGCAGCCGGACCTGTCGCTACCTGTTGCCTCCCAGTGGGCCCCGCTGCGCTCCCGGGCGGCCCCGCTTCCCCACTGCCCTTCCCCCCCGGGACACGCGTTGTGCGCTGGAACCAGCACCAACGCCGCTGCCACTCGTGCGGAGCCGCCCGGGCTGCGGCTGGGGCGGGGAGCGGCGCGGCGAGGCCGGGGGCGGAGCGGAGCGGAGCTTCCTCCGCCGCTTCCTGCCGCCGCCGCGCCCGCCCCTCCCCGCTGTCGGCGGCGCCCGCGGCAGCGCTGTCCGGCGCTTCTCCCGCCGGGCTGGTGGCCAAGTGCGGCTCGTGTTGGGTCGCCGGCGATGAGCTGCTTGCTGGTGGCGACCGCCCGCAGTCGGTGTGGAGCGGGTTAACGCTGCCGAGACGTGAGAACGGCAGCGCCGGGCCGCCTCCGTGAGCCGCAGCGCGTCTCTCGGTGTGTTGGGCTGAGGGCGGTCGGTGGCAGCGCCTGTGGCCGGGCTGAGCGTTCGGCCCGGTCACTCGGCGGAGGGCGCGGGGCTGCGTGTGCCGGCCTGCCGCCGCCGCGGCCTCGAGCGCCGTGTTCGGCGGGCGCGGAGCCGTCCGTGCCCGGGGATTAAATGACAGCCCGATGCCGGTCTTTACGGTTAGCCTGAGACGTGGTATTCTAGACCCATAGCTGCAACTCTCCACGTTTTATTTATTACTGGGATTCTCTGGTTTTGTTTCTTTTTTTTTTTTTCTCTTTCTTTCTTTCTTTCTTTTGCTGTCATTTGTCCTTTACTTTAGGACTTTGTCCTGCCCTTGCTGTACCTGTGTTGCTACTTGCACTATTAAACGGGATATGCACAACAGCATATTAAACATAGGTGCAGTAGAATGAAGACATCAAGTAGAAGCTTATGGCAATAGCTGCACGTGTAGCACTGTATTCTAGTTGTGTGTCATCTTTAACTACAAGTATTTCCCAATTCCATTAAATAATCCTCTCATGCAAGCGTAAAGAACAGACTTGTACTTAAAGGATTCTTTCTGCTCTCTAGCTTTTAAAACAGAAGCATTGTAATGGCTCAAGCATGTGCAAGCTTGAAGCAGATTATGCCTTTGTGAAATTGTTCTCGTGTTTACTACATTTGTAAATATTTTGTCAGATTTCTTCATGAAATATTGAAGAACTGGTGCTCTGTAGCTTTATTTCTGTGAGATTCACAGAAGTGCAGCTAGTGTCTCAGGGGTTCCGTTTTGAGCATCAGTTGTAGATTGAGGACAAGTTGTTCCACTTCAGACATGCCATCAAAGCAAACTGGGGCAGTCTGTGTGGAGGAAGAAAATGGAATTAAATTTTTTGTTCTTGATGGCAAGACTTGGACTTTCAAAGAGCTCAAACTAGTAGTTAATTACTGTTTTATCTGTTCTATCCTCACTGATCAACCAACTTCCACAACACCCTTCCAGAATAGATGGGAAGTTGTGGGCAGCCATTGTCTTCCTTTATTTTCTCCAACTCAGCCCTTTAGGCAGAGGTACAGCAGGAGCCTTAGCTTAAAGTGTTGTCTTGTGTGGGTTTCAGCCTTCTGTCTCACACACATGCTTCAACCACAGTTCCTTTTTTATTTCTTTGAATTCACAGAATGAGCATTTCTCCAAAGTTCATCCTTTGCTCATATTGCCCTTTATTTTCTGTTGCGACATCTTGGGCTGCTTTTCCCCAGTTTTTGGCCACATGGTTGTCCTGGCAAGGTACTGTGAAGTTCACTGGTTACTTTCCAGCTGTTTCAGTTCTTGTGCCCTCAGATTTTCTGTCATGATGGTACAGTAATGTTGTTTGTATCATGGGAATGCACAGTCTGTCATCTGACTGCCTTTTTGCATGCAAAGTTTTACCTTGCAAGCCAACATCATTAGTTATGAGTTATGGCTCTTTTTATGGTACTTAGGTGGGGTTTTGTTTTATAAAGGATGAATTTTCTAGAAAGACCTGTGTTGGACCACACATGCATCTTCCCAGATGTTTTTCCCTTTTGATATATTATAAAAAAACCCCAAACATTTAATGTGGGATAGAGAACATAAATAAAAGTTGCAGTTTGCTTTATGGGGCTGGATATTGCCAGGTATATCTGAAATTTTCCATAAAACTTTGCTGTAAGATACTAGCAAAAAAATATGTCATCAAAATGCTACTCCTTTTACCCACTTAGAGCTTTAATATACTCCAGTCATAAACCCAGTTACAGAGTCTTTTCAGTTTTGCTCCTGGACATATCTGGCTTCTGTTCATCCTCAGAGGTTATTTTTCTGTGGCAGGTGATTTTAGAAGGAAATCCGAGGGGGATTGTGGAGGATACGAACATGAAAGTTGGTAGAACATGCTTAGCTTGAGCAGCTGGCTGAAGTGCATTACTGAAAGTGAGAGAGGCTATGAGATTTTTACTGTCACTTGGAAGGTTGTGTCTAGCTTTCCAAAGCCTCCATCTCACTCTTGCTCCAGAAGTACATCAGTGTCTCACCCTTTTTAGGACTGTAATACAACGTCAGGATTGGCGTTTGAGCTCCAGTGACAGTGTAGGATGTGTGATGTGCCTTTGGGCTAGGAAATCTTGGAGATGATGCTTTCAGAATTTCAGATGACATTTTCCAGGGGAAGAAGCTTCTCTGCCACTACCAGTCAGCAGTTCTGGTCCTTTTACTGCTCTCTCAGGCAGCGGGGGCTTGTTTTCCACCAAGGTTTCCGTGGCTGTCAGAGCGCTGAGCCTCCTGGCCTGCTGATGGCTGACACTGCCCGGCTGCTGACCGTGATGGATGTGGTGCTTCTTTTGATTGGGTGACACTTGGTCTAGTGGTGAGCAAGGCAAAATGCCACAGGTAATGCTCGAAGAGAGGTCCGAAATGTATCAACTTGCGGCTTGCATCAAAACATGTAGCAGTTCTGTGGAGGATCTGGCATTACTGATCCATACCTTTCACAGATGTGTTTCAAAGCATCTTTGGACTTAATCTGCACATCTGTGGAGTTCCTTC